AGTAATTTCGTGCGTGGGAAATTAACGTCTCCCACCGCTAACCCTGTAGGAGACGGGGCCCACGGTTTATTCGTCCTTATCCGAGAATACTTGAATATCTATCCATTTCTTAATTATAGAAAGGTAGCAAATTCTCCTCACTTATTTTAAGACCATGAGTATTGGTCCAGCCGGACCTCTTTCCTCTTAAGGAGGAAAGAACATCTGATTGCATAAGATTCATGGTAAAAGGGTATCCAGTTTAATGAATTGAACAGTGAAACAGAACGAGAGCGGGATTCGGCGTCCAAGATGATTCTTGGTACTCTTTTCTGTAACTTAAAGATGTTGTTTATATTTCCTTTTGGTGTTGATGTCCATATATTGGCACCATAGAGAATAACAGGCTTGATCACTGCTTTATAGTAAAGTTCTCTTTGGTTTCTCTTCAAAATGGGCTAATATGTTTCAGCAGGCCAATTCGTTTTGAGATCTTTTTAGCAAGGATTTCGCAATGATTTGTGAAATCAAAATCTTCATCAACCTCGATTCCCAGGATTTTATGTGAATGGACATTCTCAATTGGTGAATTGTTGAGAATTATAGACAGTTGATCTACACTGCTGTTTTGTGCTAGGTGTTGCTTTTCCATGCGTTTTTTCAGTCTCTTGCCTCTAATAAGCATTGATCTCGTTTTCTTCTCGTTGATGATCATTTTATTCATTATTGCCCACTGTTAGATATTTTCTAAGTCTTTTTTAATATTGTTATTCATGGGTGAGATGTAATCCCATCTTGAACTTGATATTACTGTTGGGTCATCGGCGTGGATATCCATACTTGAATTTTGAACGTAAAGTGGGACATCATTTATGAAGATGAGAAAAAGCATGGAACGAAAAATGGTTCCTTGTGGAATACCTTGGTTGATTGGTAACAGAGAGGATGTACATCCGTTCACTTTCACACATTGTTGTCTGTCTGACAGATAGGAGCGAAACAATTTCACTGCTGAGTCACTGAGGCCATACATCTGAAGTTTCTACAGCAAAGTTTCATGATTCAAGAGGTGAAATGCCTTTTTGAAATCAATTGAAATCATCCCAGTTACCTTACCGTTATCCATGTTAAAGAGCAGTTCATCTGTTAACTTTATAAGGGCTGTTTCTGTAGAGTGGTTTTCTCGGAAAGCAGATTGATAGTTAAGGATAAGATTGTTTTCTTTCAAATAGTTTGTAAGTGACTTCGATACGTGTCTTTCAAGAATCTTGGAAAGCACTGGCAGGACTGCAATGGGTCGATAATTATTGACATCATCTCTAGGTCCATCTTTGTGCAACGGTGCAACTAGCCCAGTTTTCCACTCAGTTGGAAAAACACTGCGGAGTTTTTAAGACTGGTGCAATCAATTTCAAAACTATTGCACTTGAGCCGTCATGGCCGGTAGTTTTATTTATTGGTAATTTATTAATGAATTCTAGAATGTCTTTATCAGTGATTTGAGGTATGTTAAAGGGTTCCACGTCAGCTGTAAGTCTTCAGGTGATAAAATAACGAAGGTTTTCATTGTCGACATCTTGGGTGTTGACAAACATCATATTGCGTGATTCAGCTATTTGAACTGGATCATCAATGGCGCCATTGTCTGTTTTTAATTCAGTTATTTTAAGCTCACGTTTTCGCGTTCCGCTGAGAGTCTTTAGAGCCTTCTAAATGCCTTTTGGATTTCCTTTGTTCTTTTCTACTGATTCCTGGAAAATAATTCCTTTTTGCTTTTTTAATTAGATTTGATGTTTTGCATTTAGGGTGTTCGAACTGATTCCAATCTGCTTGAAGATTCGATTTTCTGGCAATTTTGAGCAGCTTGTCTCGCTCTTTTACAGCAGTGGTTATCCAAGGGGGCTGATGCTGTCGTTTAACACGCTTCGCTTTGAATGGAATGTGCTCATCCAAAACTGTGTTTACTTTATCTCGAAAGGCATTGAGAATGTTATTGATATTGTCGTGAGTGAAGCATGTGTCCCATGAGATACAGTTCAGCGAAGCCAGAAGTTCATTAGTATTCCTATTTTTCATATCTCTGTACTTGATCTCAATGTTATTTATTTCCATACGTTTCTTGGTATTTACGGCAAATGAAAACTGGCAGATGATCCGCTAGACCAATATCAATGATAGATGTAATGATAGATGACAAGTGTTCTCAGCGGTTGGAAACGTGCTTCGGCGTCCCTCAAGGATCGATCTTAGGACCGTTAATTTTCAATATCTATGTAGCAGACCTCCAGAAAAAGTTAAGTTGCAAATGCTTTCAATATGCGGATGATACCACGTTGCTTCACCACTCGAAGCCGCATGAAATAGAGGCGTGCATAAAGGATGCTAATCAGACAATAAGAGGCCTGAGAAGTTATTCTGAATGGTCCAATCTGGCGTTGAATTCAGAAAAAACGAAATGGATGCTTCTCTCTACAAGACAATTGGCGCGCGCACACTCTTTAAATGTTTTTCTGCAGATGTA